ATTTTGTCAAAATGCTCCAATTTTGGTTATTGTAGGTTCACGAATTAATTTTTATTACAGTGCGAGCCGCGGCCTTTTGTGCTTGCGAACTTGCTCGGCTGTATAGTCCACTGACTCACGCAACAGAGGGTTGCTGTGCGATTTCGCTAGGCTATAGCGCCGCTGCGCCTGTTGCCTAATGTAGTCCTTTAGGTAAGGGACATGTAGAGTTTCGTTAGAGACATACCATGGGGCATCAGCAATAGTGCGCAACGTCCTGCTTTGCAGAACCTGCAGATCTCGCATGTGTGTTTTAGCAATAAAGCACCAAGCCGCACATGCGTAAGTCATTGCTGGTCTTATGACCACCTTATAGAGTCGAATCTTGTTAAACAAACTTAATTTTGAACGTTTACATAATACATAATGGGTAAAGCTGTCGAAAAGTAATTTGGAATTTAGTTTTTAGCGCTTCTATATGGTTTCACCAAGTTATCCCTATGATAAGGACTTCCGCAAAAGCAGCTTTAGCGCCTGTGATTTGATCCTCCCCAGGTGTTTTACGCACTTTAAGGTCTTTAATATGACCTTCAATCTCTGCTGGTGTGCAATGCGCGATCTTGGGAGATTCCAATGATGTGCTAAGCAGATTTTCGGTTGAGGAAGCTTCTGAAGAAGATCACCAACGGTAGCGCGACTGTCACTGACCCGGTTCTTATATCTGCGATGACCTTCTTCCTCATCATTTAACATCAGATGGACGTGTTCCTCCATTTATGGTTTAATAGTTTAACTCAATTTTCGGCACTGCGAAGACAAATTTTCAATTGACATGTCTGTTTTTTAAATGACATAGACATAAGACCTGTCACCCGCTAGTACCTCACCGACGTTCGCCGGTTTTACCCATACCACATGATTTTTTGGCATTTGGATGACGTCACATCCGTCTTCCCCTATTCCCGTTCTTCGCGAAAATTTGAGAATCGGTTCCCTGTAATGCATGTGCTACACCGTGAACTCGCGAACCGGTTTGTCGTCGCAGAGAAAAAAATTGAGTTAAATTACTTAATCATAAATGGAGGAACAGGCCCAGCTGATTTTAAGTGACGAGGGAGAAGGTCATCTTAGGTATACAAACTGAACTTGTCATATCAAATGGTTGATTTCATTGAGATATATGTACATTGCACGAAAAATGATCAATCTTTTTATTTCAGATTCAAAGAAGGCAGCTAAGTTTATCAAGGAGCTTAAAGCAAACAGTTTGCACAACATGCGCCATCTAACCACTTCCGGTGTAACTTGAAACTGTCAAAACTTCGAGAGGAGAGGGAAATTCTCTGCTTCCGCTCCATTCACTAAGCGTGAAAAAATCTTTTTTGTCATCAGAGAATCTATTATGCAACATTTTATACAGTAACGCTGAGACACTGTTGTTTTCAACAAAAACTCAGTAATGGCGTCATTTCAATTTATTGTATCAGATCTGATCCATGTTTCGAGTTTTCATGTGATATATACTAAGTGACAAATAAATCCGAACACCCAGTTTAAATGGTTTTATTTTAATAAAATTTTGTATAAGTACTTAATGAAGCATAATAAGTAAATGATAAAAATTTCAAATGATTGCACTGCTTTAAAGCCCTTTGACCTTTAATAATGTGTGGATGCACCCTGATGTGCTACGCATTCTCCAACGCGCCTAGGCATGCTTCTGATCAGGTGGTCAATGTCCTCCTGTGGTATCTCATTCCAGGTAACCACCAACTCCTCTCGAAGTGCTTCTAGAGTCTGAGGAGGACGTTGCAAATTGAGCAATCTCCTACCCATCATATCCCACACGTGCTCAATTGGGGATAAGTCGGGAGATCTTGGTGGCCATGGTAACAATGTGACATCATTATGTTGAAAGAAGTCTATTGTGACTCTTGCAACATGTGGTCGGGCATTATCTTGTTGGAAAGTTGGATCTGCCAGGGTGTCAAGATAGGGTAAAAGATGGGGTTCTAGAACTTCGTGGATATAACGCTGCGCGTTCATGTTACCTCTGATGAAGATTAAAGGTGACCTGGAACCATAAGCTATAGCACCCCAAACCATAACTCCAACAGTGTGATGAACATGTCTTTCAACAAAAAACTGTGGATTCCTCCTTTCACCACGTCGCCTTCTAACCCTGGCACGACCATCGTGCATGCCTAAACAAAATCGAGACTCGTCACTAAAGACAATACTGTTCCATTCCTGATCCCAGAGTGACCGTTGTCTCCACCACTCAAGGCGATTACGTCGGTGTTCTCGAGTTAAAGGGAGGACCCAGTGTAGCCGGTATGAAAACAAGCCAAAACTTCTCATTCGTCGGTAAACACTTCGCATGCCAATAGGTCTTCCGTGTTCTGCAAACCATTCATTTGCAATGGACCTGGTAGTGGAGAAACGGTCCCTTAAGGCCAATAATCTTAGGCGGCGATCTTCACGGTCTGTTGTTCTACGGCGGCGTCCAGTGCCCCTTGCTCTTTGCGTACGGCCTTCTCGAAGCCATGCCTGACAACACCTAACCACAGTGTCTACACTTCTTTGCACTCTAACTGCAATTGCCCGAAAAGAAAGTCCAGCTTCCCGAAGTCCCACTATACGGCCCCTATCAAACTCACTAAGTTGACGAAATCGTACAGGCCTCCGTACTCTAGGCATCGTAACCGATCGTAAAGGATGTCAAGAACCAAAATCCGCCAACGTTGATTCTTTACTGCGGCTGAAATATTCATTTTTAGAGCGTTAGTGAATTAAAAAAAACAGCATAAAAACCGGAATGTCCAACTGATAAGGCTGAAAAATTTTTCACTTGTTATTTACAGTAAGATAAATACATTCACCAACTTTTATTGAAATAAAACCATTTAAGCTGGGTGTTCGGATTTATATGTCACTTAGTATATGAAGAATTTTTTGACTTAGGTAATACGAGAATTAGGAGCCTTTCTTACACAAATCATATCGATTTTAGAAAAAATCGGCCGAACTCTTCACAGCCATTACTTCAAAGTCAAATTTGTGCCAACATTACTGTTATTATATTACTCGATTTTTTTATTCTACGTAGGATTCTAAGCACACTTCCTGTACTTTCTTCACCTGACTTAACCGAATTTGAGATATTCCGAATTTTACTTAAAAAAATCACTAATGCAGGCCGAAAAGTATGATTTTCTTATACGTTTATCTTGGTCATACGATTTTTAATACGTTTCTCTTAGTAGAGGACATACCTGCATAGGACTATTAAATACTAAATTGAAAAAACTGAAGTTATTTTATTTGAAGTAAACTACGGATTTCATCATTTTATGGGATTAAGGATTTGAAAGTTTCTGAGAGATCTGGAACTATTTTTCTAGAAAAAGATGGCGTCAACCAGATTGACTCTATACGTCCTACACCTCCTTCGTTGGAGGTTTCAAAGCAAAGTGATGAGTCAAATCGTTTCCAAAGGCGAAATCGAATCGTGATCAGGTAGATTCACTTAAGTACGATAAATCTTCGATCTCTGCATATCAATCTATATAAAGCAAATCTATTGTATTTCTGTTTCCATGGCAGACATAGGGAAGATTAGTGTGACTTATTACGTTTAACAGGTGCATGGTATTACTGAGATCAGCAGCTTCTTAATAATAGAAGATCTTTCATTAACTCCAAATATGCAGCAATTTACAACCATTTACCGCGTCCAGCTTCCAACCTACAATGTTCGACTGTTCGACCCCTTCAGACAATGCCTGAAAATGAGCAGTAATCTTTGAAACATTATAACACTATATTATTTTATGTACTCCGCCTCTGAATCAACTTTCAGAATCTACGACTACCTAAACGATGGAAATATTAAACGCGCAATAATATTCAAACTTCGGTTCACAAATTTTCTGTTGCCTAAAGATATCTGTATCTCGCAATTCCGTGTTTCTCATTTATGTCTGTTTGTTAGATCATGTCTGTTGTATATCAATCCGTCATAAATACTGAGTCAATCTACTTGACGAAACATTCAGAGAATCATCATAGATGGAGTAACATAAATTTGAGGTTAGGCTAAATGGGTGGTACATTTGAGGATCATACAATTTAGAAAAATATATGTGTAGATACGTAGATCGTATATAAACATATAAGTCATCATGAACAAAAGCATCACAGAACGCTAAAGTGGTTCGTACTCATAATATCCAAATATTGTTAAAATATATAAATATTTCTCCTATAGTGGTGTGTTAGTGACGACACCTCCGCAGACAAGTTGGAGTTTGTTACCCATTGCACAGTCTTCAGTGGACTCCACAGCATCATCGCGCCGGTCACGCAACGCTAAGTATTCCAAGTTATTTCGAATTATGAGCAAGCACGTTATAGGTACATCAGACTTTTACCATTCAATTTTCCATTGTTACCAAGATCAGCAACTTCTTAATAATAGAAACTCTTTGAATAATTCTAAAGGCGTAATCCTAAGTTTCAACGCTTACAAACAATTTTCCGAAAATGATCAAGAGCGACTAAAACTTCAAAAAACCAAATTTAAGCCATTTCTCTTCTTTTTGTGCTTTAGCATTCAGCTGTTGCACCACTAGATCTATTTTCAAAAACACAAAGCTTTATCGTCCTTGGCATAGTAGTAACCTTGTGTCAAAATCTCATCAAAATCTGATCGGTATTTCTCAAGGATATAAAATTAGCGGACAGACCGACAAACAGACAGACCGATGGAAATTAGTGACATGGTTTTTCGTGATTTACATGTCATATAACATCCAAAGAACATAATATCTGAATTTCGAAATCTGTTGCGAATACAATACTTCCTCCTCAGTTTTGACATAGGAATTAAAATGCTCCACACGGCTGTATTTTGTACGTATGCATGAGGAAAAGCGTATTAGGCCGTGGGATTCTGGGGGTGCTTTGAGTCCCAACCCCACTCCCCTTCCATAGCCTAGTATATTATATTAAATTAATACCTGCTGTGATGTTGATCGGACGCACAACGTCATCTTCAGTTCCGTCGATGTACTCTTCATCTGAATCATCGTCTGGATCGATATCTTGCAATGTGGATGGTACTCCAACTGGTACCGGTACAGGCTCAGCTACGGCTACCAAAAGAACACTGTTCGCTACTACTAGCAGCAGCGCTACCTGTAAGAGATTGTATTTTTATTACATACAGGGTGTTTCAGAAATACGTATCAGTATTTCTACTGTAGAAAGTACATCCAAAACTAGCAAAAAAAGGTTCCCATAAGTATGGGTAAACAGGTGATTCTCTACCGAGGTACAGGTTGGTGAAGTTTTATTTATTAGATTGAAAAAAATATATGTTGGAGACAGACGGCGAATTCGGCCCGAGGCCAATATAATTGGACATTTCGCCATATGTCCGTACCTCGCATGCCAGAAGCCGAAAGTCGTCATCCGAAAAACTTAATCTAACCATGTGGCGAAGTGCTCATTTCTTTAATACGCCGTTGCCGATTACATCACAAATAAACAACCTAACCTCAAATTATTGTAGTAAAGCGCTCACATACAGTTTGTTTGACAGTGGTTTTTGTATAGTAAATACAAAATTTGTTAGTAAACAATTTATTTTAACGATGAAGGCTGAGAAAGATTTAGTTGGCAAGCATATTTTTGAAGAGAATCTCATTGCGTTGATTGGAAAAAATAGTGGTACTAATTTCACCACTGTATTAATTATTGAGCAATATTCATGTATTTTAAATCAAGTGAAGAGATGAGAAAGAAAGAATTGAATGAAAAACTAAGTTTCCAAGAGTATAGGCGTCTAAATAGATTCGAAATTATAAAGATAGGCGCAAAAGAAAGCCTTATTGCTAAACGTAGCAACGATGACGTTGGTTCTATAAGGTATTATTGCAATGTTAGTGAGGTACATGGCATTTTAGAGAAAGCTCACAGGGATACTGGCCACAAAAGAATATTCGGTATGGAAAAAGAAATTGCTAAAAAGTATTGCAATATTCCCAGAAGTAGGTATCATTGAAGAAAATTTAAAATTATGTTCTATCTGCCAGCTAAAAAAAAATCGAAGCAGAAAGAGTTGGTAGTAAAAGCAGTAATTTCGACAGGATTTAACAAAAGGGGCAAATTGATTTGATTGATATGCGGACTGAACCGAATGGTTCCTATAAATTTATTATGAATTACCAAGATCATTTGACAAAATGTGTCTTCCTCAAAGCTAAAATCTAAACGAGCCGAGGAAGTTGCCTATAATCTAATGGATATTTTTTGTATCATCCTTTTCTACTGCATATATAGTGACAATGGCAGAGAGTTTGTGAATCAATCAAGATAAAATGTAATAGTAAATGTCATTCGAGTACTTAATAATAATAAAATAAAAGTTACGTTAACTCTATAATCCATATTTACGTAGTCATGCCATAAGTTCTGTCCCTCGTTTTCAAACAAGTGTAGACCTGTTAATACTTGTCCGATTGTTTACATTGTGGTGTCAGTTGATTAAGCGCTTTTCGGGTAATTACATATACCTCAGTTTGTATTGATCTCTCGAAGCATAACGATGGAGAGGGGCAAGGCAGAGAACCGTATTGCAGTGATAGCTTTACATAAGTGTAATCACAGTGCTAGTCAGATTTTTGAACTCTTACGCGGCCTTCAAATATCGCGTAAATTTGTGTCTAGGACCATTCAGCGGTACAATGAGACGTCCTCTGTTGATGACAGGCCAAGAAGCGGAAGACCTCGTCAAGTAAGGACTCCAGCAGCCATCAAAGCCGTAAAAGCCAGGATTCAAAGGAATCCACTCCGGAAGCAGAAGATCCTATCCAGGGAAATGAAGATTCCTGTCCGGACGATGTCGCGCATCATTAAACAAGACCTAGGGCTAGGGGCTTACCGGAGACGTACGGGCCAGCGACTTACGGCCACCTTGCGACACATCAGGGCGACAAGATCCAAGAAGCTCTTGGAGAGGTACGCAGCTGGGGGATTCCGAAAGATTTTGTTCACGGATGAGAAAATCTTCACCATAGAAGAAAAATTCAACCGACAAAATGACAAAGTGTATGCAAGGAGTTCACAGGAAGCTTCGGAGATCATTCCGAGAGTTGAGAGAGGCCACCACCCTGCGTCAGTCATGGTTTGGTGGGGGGTGTCCTACGAAGGGGTCACTCAGCTCCATTTCTGTAAACAGGGCGTGAAAACAAAAGCGGCAAACTATCAGAGCGACATACTGGATCCTATCGTCAAGCCTTTAAGTGGTACATTGTTTGCCAACCAACACTGGGTCTACCAGCAGGATTCCGCCCCCGCTCACAAGGCTAAGAGTACGCAGCGCTGGCTGGAAAGCAATGTGCCAGAGTTCATTGCTGCGGAAGATTGGCCCTCAGGGAGTCCGGACCTCAATCCTTTAGACTACAAGTTGTGGGACCTGCTAGAGCAGTTGGCCTGCTCCAAAGCCCACCGTAATATCGAGTCCCTGAAAGCGGATTTGATCCGATCAGCGGCAGCTATTCCTTTGGAAGCTGTGCGTGCAGTGATAGATGAGTGGCCCGCGAGATTGAAGCAGTGTGTGAAGGCCAAGGGGGGACATTTTGAATAAAACTGTTTGATTATGAATTCTAAAAATGTTGTCGAATAAATAATATCTTTCATATAAATATATCTTATCTTGTTTCATTTTTATCATGAGATTATCATGGGACAGAACTTATGGCACGACTACGTATTTTTAATTTGAATTAATCGCCTCTTTGCGTTCGGCATCGGCTTAGGATGTATATAGACATTTCGGGATGTGTCTAAATCACGTTATCCAGATGCCGAATTGTGTCTCTCTTACGGCATTTATCGCATACAGTATGGACATATGACGATATGTCCAATTATATCGGTCCGTGGCCGAATTCGCCGTCTGTCTCCAACATATAACGTATATCCACGGAGCGAGCAAAGATACTGAGTTGAAATTTTAGACGTTCAGTGAGCACATGATAAGCAATAAGCACACAGAGCTTCCAGGCCCAGGCTAAACGAGGACGTAGAAACTGGGGTACATGGACCCTTAGTAGGAAATACTTTCTACGTCACTGGGCGTTTTGGAGAAAGGGATATCATTCAATTTTCGATTTATTTTGTCTTTTAAGGAATTTTTGTCAAATTACTCGCTTTAGAGATATGTAGGTTTGAATATTTGAGTTAAAAGCCTAAAATATTCTAATGAAAAGGCTTGGCTTCCCTTATTCTGAAAACACCGTGAAGCATAATTTTTGAAACACTATATAGCATGAGAAGAAAGCGTTGGCACTTCCTTACGACATTAATTGAATAATATGCGTCTATCAATAGGGTAGAAGCTTACGATTCATTTAACCTTTCCTGTGTTCGCCACTGGTTTTGCCAGCATATTCATTTTTCTTTATAGATAAAGAAATTTCAAAACAAAGTAAACGTTTATTTCAAAAATAAATAAAGCTAATATAAAATTAAACACGACAACAATAAGCATTACATTTGATACAACTACGTGGTTATTTATAAATTTATTAGGACATAACATTGGGTAGAAAGAATAATGCTGAATAAATGCTATAACATCCAACCTAAAGGAAGTGCTGAGAGTGACCACCTCTGGATTCAACACAAGCCCGTGTACTCAAATTGATTGGTTCTACAATTACTAGTTGTGATTTTATACAAACAGGAGAATCTAACATGGGTAATACCGGGAGAAGTATGAAAACCAGTGGCGTGCAAAGACAAGGTTTAATTAATGGTAAGCTTATTGTTGTAAATGTGGTGCCGTAGCTTTCTTCACATGCCATATAGTGTTTCCAGTATCAAGCTTCACGGATTTTCATAGACCCCTTCATAAGTATAAGAGCCCCTTCCCACTTCAGTTGGCCCAACTATTGAAATATTAGTTTTTTTCTTATCAAACACAAATAATAAAAATGTAGCAGGATGATATAGGTTTAAAATAATAACAATGAATATTTTGATAATATATAGTAGAAAACACCAATTTTATCACTCCCTAATCAAATTTGCAACATAAAAATAACACATGTTGCAATTAAAGCATATCAACCTATTTTCATTTCACTGCAAAATAAATCTATAACGCATAGCTGGCTGCGAAAAATAGAAGCCATGACAATTGTTTTTATTAATCACAGCTGTCAGAATACGTTTAAAATAGTTTTGGGTAGTTAAGGTTTTCAAAATGGGTAGAGGAAAGGTTATTAGTGAGAAAATTCGGTTACTGAAAATTAAATTTTCTAATTCTGGGAAATCAAACTCAGAAATTGCAACTTTATTAGACTTATCGCGGTACAGTGTGAGAAATATTGTTAGAAGATATACGTAACTGGTTCAGTTAATATTAAGCCACGATTTGTGAAAAAAAGTAATATCACAAATGCCGACCGAAGAGCATTAAGAAGAATAATCGTGAAAAACAGGCGTGCCAATTATTTACAATTAAGTGCTCTGTGGAGTGACGCTGTTGGAAGGAGAATTTCGAGGTCCACAACTCATAGAGAGGCCCACAAACTGGGATTTAGCACTTGCAAGGTAAGTTTTCTTATAAAAAAAAGCGAAGTAAAAACCCTAAAGTTGCACAACTTGTTTATAGGTAAAGAAAAGCCACTATTAACTCCACTGCAAAAGAAAAATCGGCTTAGATGGGCTAAAGAACATAGACAATGGACACCTCAACAATGGTGTGCAATACAATGGAGCGATGAGGCCCGATACGAAGTTGGTGTTGGTGACAGTCGCAGTAGAGTTATTCGCAAAACAATGAAGCATTCCATGTTGACTGTCTGAAGAGAAAAGTGAAATTTCCAGCATCTATTATGGTCTGGGGCAGTATGTCATCAAAAGGAGTAAGAAAACTTCATTTTATTGATGGAAATGTGGATACAAATAAACATTTGGCAATTTTAGAAGATTATCTTTTACCAGTGATGGAAGAATGTTTGACATCTGGCCAAGATTTTGTGTTTCAGCATGATGGTGCAGCGTGCCATACCTCAAAAAAGGCTATAAAATGGATGGAAGATAATAATGTACCACTTTTAAAATGGGTTTCTAGCAGTCCAGATCTGTCACCTATTGAAACTTTGTGGCACGAGATGAAAAAGGTT